CAATTCTCATTTTCATACCAACATCATTTTTATAATGTTCTAAAAAACAGAATTATTATAACAAATTGATTTCTTTATACATTGCAAGAAAAATATTATACACATTTTTTGTATAGACTTAAATTTTTTTCTTAAAAAAAAAATGAAAGACTATCAATGAAGTTATTATAATATAATAGTTATAATTATAACTGTAAGATGTATGATCTTAATGTATTAAAATTAATAAGTATTATAATTATAATTAGTTTTATAATTAATTGATTACTAATTGTGCTTGTTCTTTTCTTTACAGGTCTAGTATCGATGAAGCAATAATTTGTGATTTATTATTATCAAATAATATTCTAACATCAGATTCCGGAAGTTTTGCAGCCAGGAAACAAAAGGTAGCAATTTATATTTTAATTTTATTTAATTCCATATATTTGTGCCCATGTATTTATTTAAAAATACATTTAGAGTTTTTAGATAAATAAATAAATATGTATATGTAAATAGATATACACATATACATATAAATATATGCAGTAATACTCCGCTTGTGTTACATTAGCATGTTAATAATGAGGTTAGGTAAAGTTGGATAGAAAATTGCTTATTAAAGTTAAAATCAAGTTCAAAAATTAAATACACTCATAAAAAAATTAATTCAGGTGACGATTGTTTTTTGAAACAATAGGTTGATTACTGGGTTACCTCCTCTCTTGTTTTTGAACTTCTTTCATAGATTTCATCCGTTGACGGATGATTTATAATTTCAATCATATTTCGGACAAAGACCTATTTACAAACAACATTTAAAGTTCTTTTTGCTCTTTTTAGAAATAACTATCAATATTTATGTATTTTTCTCTTCCTATTTTTTTTAAATAAAACGTTTTTTAAATTTTTTGAGAATTTGAAAATTTTTAAAATAATCGTTTTTTTTCTAAAAATATTTGAAAAACTCGTTTTTTTAATTTTCATATTTTTGAAAATGATAAATTTTCAAAATTATGAATAAATTATAACACATACACACACATACATCCATTTTTTCTAAGTTATGCCAAAATATTCTGAAGGTTTTGAAACGAAAAGATATACAAAATTTTTTGTTTTCGATTTTTTTGTGATTACTATAACTTACCCTACGGGAAGTTAAAAATTGTATTCAAAATTAAAATAAAATCGAGAAAAACTGTATTTTTCAAAATTTCAAAAGTCTACGAAAATGCTGGGTTGTGCCATCAAATGTTTATACACATATATATTCACGATGTCTCTTATCTTGAATATTATTATATATAGTTGAAATATGAGTATTAATTCATAAGTGTACAATAACTTTCGTCGCCTAATTTATAAGCTCTTACACTCCGACCTATGTACTTGTCTATTTCAAACTATTTAAAACGATTGTTATTGAACATTTATACATTTTCATTGATTTTTGATTATTTTTATTTTTTGAATGTTTAATTACGGTACGGAATTTTTCAACAATTTGCCTTAAGGCACGATGCCATGCACCACTAGTTCGAAAATTGGTTAATTTGTTGAACAAGAATATTTATTTTATTTTATGATCGATAAAATAACATTTTATCATTGTTTTGCCAGACAATTTCAATAATTGCGCAAACTGTTTATCTCTTTCTCGTATTACTTTATTAATTTAATACATGAAAAATATCTCTTTAGTGGTACATTATTTGGCAGGTATTTTTGAAGGTATCAGTTATAACAAACTCCTGTAATTCTAAAATAATAATCGTTAATTTTTGTTCATTTGATTGGGATTACACTCTTCATAATATGCATTTTACAGTACTTTCATAATAGAGAATCCTTTTGTAGCAAAGCGAAAAATTAAAAATAAAACATGTAAGGATCCACTGTGGTGGTGCGACTGTTATTAAATAGTAATTAAGTTTAATTTCATATTCAAAGTCTATGGATATATTAAACCTTCGTAGACAAAATATTTCTCTCCAAATTACATACAGCGAGTTTAGTGTTTTACCGATCCGAAACAGATGCCACAATTTTCTCGTCAAAAATATTATTAATTATGTATAAAATGACATACTAGCTTTTTGTAAATTTTCCTGTGTATAATTCAACTAATGTATAGATGCTGGTAATTATGCATCACATGTAATTATATACATATTATATATCTCATAAAGTGCTGCACATATTTAGTTTTTAATTTTGAGCAAACTCATATATATTTCAATTCGGATCAATGTTTTAATTAGTAAATTGCTCATCTAAATTTTATATCTCTGACTGACTGTCTCATAAACGTTACCATAAACTGATTAGTTTTAGGTAAAAATCTACCGAGCCGTTTTCTTGTAATTAACTGTTGCAAAAAAATGGAGCCGATTTTTATGGAACTTTTTTTTTGGAGATATTTATCATGGTCTTATAGAACTTACTGAAATATTGCGGCTTTACGACAAGTAATTTGATTTTAAAAATTCATCAAAGAGAAAATGAGTAGTTTTTGTGACGTTTGTTAAAATTAAAGTCCTACGGAAACTGGTTCAATTAAAAATTATTGATTTTTGAAAATTTGCTTTTAGAAAAAAAAATACTCCGATTAACGTTCGTTTTCAATTATGTGTAATAAATCCTCTCGGAATAATTTTAATCACTCATAAATTAATTTATTTTTTATTGATTAAGTCGATTATTTACACATATCGGGAAGTCCATGTAACTTGCCTCAAGGCAAAATACCAATACCAACTAGTTTAATTATTGGATGACTTCCCAAAAACACTTTATGATATATATTTCACCATCTAAAAAAAAAACCTCACGGTTTACAAAATACCAATTCATGCTTTATAAGTACACTTTCAAACAATGTATCCAGCATTATCAATTTTTCCAGCGCGCATTCAATATAAGGCAAAAGTTTTTAATTTATTTTATTAATATGATTCCCCTTATATGTATAACTAATTTAAACATCTCCCGAATTGCTTCCACAGAAAAATAATTAAACAAATCTGAGCGCACGAAGCCAATATCCAAAGCGTCAATCAAACTGGCGAACGAATCTATTATTATTTATAATCGGCGCTGCCCACGCTCGCGCCTTGTCGAGTTAAATGCCGGAATGGTACTATGTATAATACAATGGGCAAAGTATTCCTGATTACTAAAAATATTTCGTCATTCAGAGCCGAACAATTCATCACATATTTAATAAGACGTCAATTTCAAAGATCGACGCTTATGGGATAAAAGATTGATTGGTGACTCTTTAACTTTTGTTATATAATTTTAAATGTTTTGAACTAAAACTGTTTGG